TTTCTTTTTCTTTTTCTAGGGCATTGAATGAAATAATAGTTAACCCCAAGGAGACATGCCAAGACAATGATCACCCTAAACCAATGGAGGATTTACTGTCTAGGTATACAGGAAAAGGAAAAGGGGGGAGGGAATGGTGCCCTGAGCTACAGAAAGGACGGAGTGTGTGTGAGGGGAGGGGTGTGGCTCTTTGGAATACTACATCATCAGTCTCAGACCAATCTGAGTTTTGTTTTCTAACAACCCAGAATCAAGAATGACATAAGGAAGAAGGAAAAAAAAAACTTGGCACCTCAGCCGGCTCATCACTGTAGCAGGATCTGGGGTAAGGTGCCAGCACTTTTTCTTCCCTCTTTCTGAACTGGAGAGGTGCTGTGAGGGCAAAACTCACTGAACCAAGGCAAACTGCAGTGGCTGGAAGTATGTCCCTAAAATACCCCAAACAAGAGGATGTCTGTGAGGACATCAGCCTAAGACCTGCAAGACCACCAAGGCCCCCTGGGGAGAATGAATCGCCCAACAGTCTTAGCCCTGGCTGGACAGGACTCCCCACTACAATGACATCTGTTTCCAGCTGACTTCAAAATGACTTTTTGCAAAGGACCCTACTCCTTAAGCAGATACCAGATAAGAGAAACAGCAAAACCCTTGGGTGGGAGAGCTATACTGCTTTAAAGGAAAGCAAATCCTTTAGAGAAAGGAATAATGAGCTTTAAAAGATAGTAGAGGGGGAATGGGAAAGGCAGCTGTGGGATTAAATAGTAAGAAGTGACACCAGCAGCTTTGGTGATGTTCTGAGATGACAATAAGCACCCGAGTGTCTGGTTAGGCAGCTGGACTCCCAGAAGCCTACCTGGATATATGTGTTATAATTTGCGTTTCATATTCTCTAAAGAGATAGCTTGAAAGAAGTTGAGGTTTGTTATAGTTAAAAGCACCAGGGCAGCATCCAATCTGGATGGGTTGAAGGCACCAAACACATTAGAGAGATGGGAACCACTCCGGTACTTTTCCATCGAGAGCCAATCACAAGCAGGATTGATTTCCTGTTGTAGGACAGACACAATGACAGTGCCCTATGAAATGTGCCTGCTTTTGTCGTTGGGAGTATTTTTGGAATTACTGCTGCCTTTCATGACTCTCCTAGTAAGGCAGATTCTCTATACAGAGTGTGAAACAAACAAAACATCTCAGTTTTCTTAAATGACTCATTCAAGGTCACAAATGAGCTAATATAAGAAATAAGAATTCCTTTAAGTTCAATATTTTTATTACAGCCTTCTACTCCTACTGGATAAAGCTTATACTGAGGGTATCTTTATGAATAGAGCTAATTTAGAAGGGTTTATTCTGATGTGGAATTGAGGAAAGGAAGCTACACTAGAGCATTCTGAAGACAGGGGCCTCTTCAACTTACACAGAGAAGTAAGATCGCTGAAAAGCATGAAAAGGGTGCAAGTCACTCAAAATCATGGGGTCAGTGGATTTAAACATAAAATTCTTTAAGTAGCAATACAAAGGGAAAGTCCAGGGATAAAGTAAAATAAATGATCATAAAACAAAGAGGCAAATATGGATGTAAATCTATTCAAATGCAAACTTTTCAAAAATAAACATTAGAGTATTTTGCTCTCCAGGTAAATTCTTCCCACTCATTTCTGATTCAACATGTCCCCCCTTCGGATCAGCCCAAAAGAGCTGAAGAAACATACTTACTGTACATTAAATGAATGTTAGAAGCTAAACTTAAAATTTTGTCAGAAAAGAACCATTTCCCTTAAGTGTCCTCGTCTTTCCTTAATACTTTCATAAAAAAAAAAAAGTAAGCAAAAGCATTGCTCATGAATCCCTCAGTGCAGGCTGGCTGCTTGGTCTCACTCTTTGTAGTGGGCTAAACATTCCCAAGCTTGCAGCCATCATCCGTTCTCTTCCTAAAGCTCAGAAGCTAAAAACTCTGGTCAAGCCTGGTCATGAGCATTTAGGCCACAGCAAGATAAGAGCCACAACACTCTAATGGAAAAACAAAAACAAAAAAAACACAGTTTTCCCAGCTCAACTTGATTACTTGGGAGAAAGGACCTTGCTTCCTGCTCACACCCACTAGGGGCATTTCACTGAAAAGAGGATACACTAGTCCACTGGTACAAAAATCAAACCAATTCTGAGAGGCTGTCAAGAAAGAGACTGTGAAGGTGGAAAGCCCTGCAGTGACCTTGGGAGGCCAATTTTAATATCCACACTCATCCAGCAGTAGAGCCTCTGGTCAACCCCGCGGCAGTCCACACCTGCGTGTCTAGGGTCTGCCTTCTAGCACTACCTCTACTCTTCTCTCTTGCACCAGGAGGATGTTCTTCACATCTTTCCTATTTGGCATCCTGAGTGAAAGTATCTGACTTCACAAGCTGGTAAGTAAGCACACAATGCCTACAAGGAAGAAAGCTAGAATCCATAAGGTCCCCAGGTAAATGTTCACCAGCGTTTCAGCCAGGGGCCACGAGTTCCAGAGGGGCAGAGCTCACATCAGTGGTAGAAGTCTAATGCAAGGATCTGTCTGAGGCACCATGGTAGGACCAGAGCAGTCCTTGACTTTCAGTCCAAATACCTTTCCTTGTTCAAGTGTAGTTCAGGGGCAACGGAGAACAGCTTCCTACACATGGGGTTCAGCTTGGCAGACTGTGACCAATCTTTAATAGGAATGGATGCCTACCTCACCCCAAGTTCTGTTTTAATTCCCTGTATGATAAAATGAAATTAACAAGGAGAGAGGTGTACGGTATCTGAAATACAGCAGGTGAAGGCTCAGAGCTTACTCATAGTCTTAAATGACTACTCTAGTCCAGGGGGAAACAGCATCTCCCTGGCACTCTCGATGCCAGCCACTCTGCCAACTGTTTGAAGACAGGGTAACTGTCACTCTTCTCCCCATAACTTCTTGTTTTTGTATCAGTGGCTGGCAGGTTTATCTGCTTCGGAGCAGCTTCAGAGCCACGTCAGTGACACTGGCTACGTCAGCAAGAAATTGGAAGGGAGGAAGACGCCACTGCCAACAGCAGTGGAGAGAAAATTCTAGCCTTAAAGATAAGGTGATTCTTCTGTCTGCCTCTCTACATAATAGACATGGCTTCCAATGAGTTCAGACTTTATGAACTTTCATCAGACTTTCTTAAGGTTTGGAGTACAAGGACATTAAATTTCACTTCCAAACCCCTTGCTGTAGACCTGCGCTTGCTTAAGAAACAGTGGGTTTCAAATGTGCCAGAGTACAGAGCACCGATTCCTAAGTATCTAAAGGCACACCTAGGCTGCCTTCTAGCTCATTTCATACCATCACTGATTCTAGCTACTTTCACTGTTGGCCCTAGTGTATTCCACATGACATCATAATCACCCACAATTTGATTAAGATCCATGGCCCAATGCTACTCTATAGTTGGTTTTTAAAGTAGATTTAAAAGCCTCGGCTCTCTGAGACAGCAATCCTTTAAAGCTCACAGCTGTAAAAGGATGATTCTGTTCCATTGTCAAATAATCACCTTTGGTTGAAAACAATGTTAAGGTGACTGACACATGGCCAGTATGCTTTATAAGATTCTGTTTGTGAGAAAGAAAAAAACAATGCTAATGTAGAAGTGAGTGAGTTCAAAGTGAAACACTGTGCAGCACAGGTATTTTCTCAGGTGAAAAACGTGACCCTGCTAGAATAGCATAGCAATTCTTGACTCTCTGAAACACAGAAAGATAATATCAAATTTTTGTGTAGAGATCAAGCTTATGATTCCCAAGTTCCTATAAACTGTTTCATCTAAGTCATGGCTAATGAGGGACAAAGTCAAATTCAGAGAGCTGCAGGTTCTCATCTGCGTGGTCTCCTCGTAGTCTAACCTCTGGAGCAAGCCTCACAGCTCCACTGGGAGTTAAACTTAAAATTACATAATGACAATTACCAGCAACTTGCTGGGCAGTCACAGCCAAGTCATTTGATTTCCTGTACCTTTCTCTGTTCCAAGAAAAAATAAGATAAGGATGGTAAGCTGCTCTGTGGGGCAAAGAACTAAGAACATGCCCAAAACCATACTTCAGATGATTACAGTGAAGAAAGAACTGATTTTGTCACACTTAGAGTCATTCACCCCCACGGCGACCTCAGCTCTCCCTCTAAGCTGTGCACATACTAAGCACTCTGCATCAGGGCTCTTTACCAGGGTGCCTCAAACTCACAGGGTTTCTGGATGGCTGTAAAAGGGGTCCACCTACTCCGATCTCCAGGAAGCTGGTGACACAAAGCTTAAGAACCACTGCTACACTAAGTCTTGGCTACAGGTGTTCTCTAATCCAGCAACATTGCCCAGAACTGAGGGGAAGATGGCCACAGAAGTCAAGAAAAGCAGCTTAGATAAAGACCTGAAGAAAGTCTCAAGTCCCTAACCTTAACTCCTTGGGTCACATCTTCAAGTTGCCACAATGTTTCCAAGGGGAATTTCCTCAATTATCAGTGCCTAGATTTTTTCTAATAACAATAATGACTAATAACAACAACAATGTGGACTGAGGAGAGCACAAAACCAGAAGCACCTGCTCTGTCAGCCATTCAACACCGAGGACACCTGTTGGAGGGAAAGCAGAAGGGCCCCACAGGACTCTGGGAAGAACAGATAGCTTGCCAGGCGTTATGTGTAGTGTGAAGATGAACCAGGAGGACGTGGAAGAGCTTCTGGCTTTCAGAAGTGTTAGGGGGATGGTGGGTCCTTCCCAATCCCCCAAACAGGACCCAAGACTGAGCCTTGGCCAAGAAACCATGTTTGAAAAAACAGACAAAAGAGGGGGGTGCTGAAAATAATAAGGAAACTCTTCAAAGAGGGAGGGAATGTTCCAAAAGAGGGACATAAGCGAGGCTGTCGTCCTCTGTGACCAGGTCAGAAAGAAGCAGGGTGATCTTAAAGAGGACAGTGCGAGACAAGAATTTCATTCTAATTCTCCAGACCTAGATAGCTCGCATAAAATCACTTAGCACTTACAAAGCATTCTGCGGTTTAAAAATATTATGGCATTCACAATCTCGTTTAATTCTTATCTGCCAGGAAATGCTAGTTACATTTTCTTCCATTTTACACAAGAGGAAACTGAGGCTGGGTAGAGAGAATTATGTGAGCTGCTCAAGGTCACGTGGCTGAAATCAGCCCTAAGAAGCAACCAGGTGCTCCTCACCCTTCAAGGTGGTGGTCCACCTTGAAGTGTTAACTCCTCAAGGAGAAGGCTGTCATAGCTGCAATGGGACTTCGCCCCTGCTCCCAAAATCTGGGATGGAGCATTGCCCTCCAGTGCCAAGAAGGGGACCTGATGACGCGGAGCCACAGACCGGGATTTCCCTATTCTGCAGGGTTCTTGGGAGCCTGGAACAGAAGCAGTAGCTCTCACACACCCGCGGGTGAGTCAAGTAAGGCTTAACAGCAGTTGCTGAATAGAGATTTAAAGAAAGAGGAGCCGGACAGCACTGGGTGAATTCCCTTCTAAGAGGTCCCGGTACTGCCAACCAAGAGCAGGCATCGGTTTCTGGACCGAGCTCCCCACTCTCACCCCTGCCCCACTGGTTCTTTTCTTGGTGGTCCCCTGGAGCCCGAGAACAGCTCGAATGAGGAAAGGGAGCGGACGAAGTGTGGAGGTGACAGGAGGCCGGTCGTAGAGCACCTCTGATCTTGTGGGTCTGAGCAATCACGAGCTAAGCCCAGCTTGAAGTTTGGGCATCAAAGGTTTCAGACCAAGTAGCGAGTTGCCCCGAGAGCGAGCTGTCCCGGGTGGGAGATCTGAGAGCGAGAGGTGGCGGCACCAAAAGAGGGGAAAGGCTGGAGAAGGTGCCGCTTCCCACGCAGCCCCTCGCCGCCCAGAGGGTAGGGTGGCAGGTCCGCCTCTGCAGCCCGCGAGTGCGGAGAACGCGCCCCGCACCGCGGCGCAGCGCAGCCCCTCCTCGCCGCGCCGCGCTCCTCCCCACCTGCCCGCCGCCTCGCCCGACCGCTGAGACTCACAGTCCGCAGGAACTGGATCTCATCCTCGCCTCCTTCTCCCGTTTCGGCCATGGCTCCCGGGGCGTGCGCGGCGCCCCAGCTTCGGGCGCCTCTGTTTCCCCCAGGCAACGGCGTGCGCTGACTGCCGCTCTGCCGTTGCTCTTTCTCCTCCTCGTCGTCCTCCTCCTCCCGCTCCTCGCTCAGCCTCAGCAGCGCCGAGCTAATCCCCGACCATATAGGGAGCTGGGCTAACACTTGACTGCACTGCAGAGCGCCAATGCCAGGCGAGCAGCCCGCCCACCCCTCTCTCCTCTCGCCCCAGCCAAGTGCGCGGCGGCCGCGGACTCCGCGGACAGCGCAGCGCGGCGCGCGCCAGGCGGGTGTGGGGCAGAGCGGGGGACCCGGGCCGGCGCCGTGGAGCCTCCCCCGCACCGCACCGCACCGCACATTCGGTGGAGACGCGCGCCCCGCGGCGACGGGAAGATGGCTCTTACACAAAGGCCAGTTGCTTAGATTCGGTGCCCCCAAATTGGGCACCACCAACCCTCTAGATTTGTCCACTTTGCGCGTGTGTGTGTGTGTGTGTGTGTGTGTGTGTGTGTGTGTGTGTGTGTGTGTGAGAGAGAGAGAGAGAGAGAGAGAGAGAGAGAGAGAGAGAGAGAGAGAGAGAGAGAGAGAGAGAGAGAGAGAGAGAGAGAGAATTGATTTCCTATTTTTTTCCTATTTGCGTTGGAATGCCCATCTGGAACATGGCGTTGACCCACCACCACGCGTGGAAGACTCAGTTCGTGTGTACCTTGGTTTTTCATACAGCAAGGAGAGAAGGATGCTGTGACTATTCATTCATAACAAAGTTTGTAACTCGCTGGGTAGCTCATCTTGCACCTTTAGAGAACCCCTTCACTCTTTTTAAAATTTGATAAGGAGGGGGTACAATAGTCAGAACGCACAAAGGAGGGGGTATAGTAATCAGAATGCACATTACATATGTGTGAAATTGTCAACTAACAAACTCAATAAATGTTTTTAAAAACACAAAAAACAAGTCTGATAAGGACACACTGCACCTCCACTGAATAAAGATGCAGTAGCCACAGGGCGCTTCAGGGGGCTCCCATTCTGTCCTCAATTTGGAAGTTAGATGTCATCCGAAGCATTCCTTTGTGTGCATCCTTACCCTTACTCTTCACTTTAGACTGCCAGCCCTGTGGACTCTGAGGAGAGCATAGGAGAGGGAGTACATACAACAGGTCCTAGAAGGCTAACACTCACCCAGCCTTGGGTAGGTTTTTTAGGATTTGGGAACAGTCATATTGGTCCTCTGAAGACTCAGGGTGCAGGATACTCCTTCTGAATGCTGATCAAGGAGTTTCCTGGCAAACGAAATGTTTGAAAGAAAGACCCTTGAGAGATGTAGGCAAGTGGCAACTCTGGGTTTAAACCTAGCAACTTCTCTAAAGCCTGCCTGGGACAAATCATGCCATCTATACATTGTGGAGCCACCTGGCCATGCTTGCCTCTATGACCTATCTTCGGATAAAGCTTCTTCCTTATCTCCATCATTGGGAACAAGAGTACATTCTGAATGGCGAAAGGCTCTTAGATTTCTAAATCCTCAGGAAAGCTATCAGCCACTGTTAGATCTTCAGCAGAACCCACAGAACAATGAAATGTTCTCTTGGGATGCTTGAATTGTTGAAAAAGTCAGCAAAGAAGCCAGGAGCATTTGCATGGAGGGGGACTGTGCAACTGACACCATTGCAGCTGAGGGACAGCCTATGGGGACAGAGAAAATTTTTTCACTTTTAGTCTTTTCAGCATGTTGTATCTTTTACACACAGTTTGCTAAGTTCTGAAAATATCACTCATGATATGTTTCTGTAATTATTTAATCCTGCTTACTTGTCACGCAAAAGGGACTCTCAGGTGTGTTTTATCAATTAGATAAATAGTGAAAAGTGGTCCCATCATATGAATAAGCATCTCGTTTTCTATGCATTATTATTATTCATAGTGGCCAGTTACACGGATAGTGTTAATGGGGCCACGCATGGTTGTGTATTCAATCCCAGAAAGGCTGGTTAGTTTCACTCTATTCGTGAGTTAAGGACCTGGCCCTTTCACTTTGTCCCAAAACCTCATAAATCTTTGTTCATTTAGCAAAAAGGAGGGCAGCATTGAATACAGCAACAAAACGATTCTTGAGGACATAGGAGCTAAGAGGCCATATTTGATTTTTTTTTCTTTGCCCATATGGACCTATAGTAAACTGTATATAACATTAAACTTCCTTCAATGCCATTGCAGCATCACCTCCTGTGATGACTAATCTTGGCTGTCAACCTGACATACCTGGGAGGAGGGAACCTCAGTTGAGGAATTGCATCTATCAGACTGGCCCGTGGCCAAATCTGTGGGAACATTTTCTTGATTGCTAATTAATGGAGGGCAGCCCAGTCCTCTGTGGGAGAGATCACCTTTGAGTGTGTGGTCCTTGTATAAGAAAGTTAGGTAAGTAAGTCAGTAAGCACTGTTTCTCCATGGTTTCTGCATCAAGTTCTTACATTGGTGTCTAATTAGGGTTACTATTGCTGTGATGAAACACCATGACCAAAAACAACTTGGGGAGGAAAGGGTTTATTTGGCTTAAGCTTCCACATCACTGTTCATCACTGAAGAAAGTTGCCACAGGAACTCAAACAGGGCAGGAACCTGGAGGCCAGAGCTGTTGCAGAGGTCTTGGAGGGGTGCTGCTTACTTGCCTATGGCTCCCTCAGCTTGCTTTCTTGCCAAACCCAGGACCACCAGACTAGGGGTGGCCCTACCCACAATGGGCCTTTCCCCCTCTAGTCACTCATTAAGAAAATGCCCTACAATCTTGCCTGCAGCCTGATTTTATGGAGGCGTTTTCTCAACTGAGGCTCTCTCCTCTCCTGTGACTCTAGCTTGTGTCAAGTTGACATAAAACCAGCCAGCACGGTTGGCTCCCATCTATGATGGGCTGTAACCTACAAGCTAAAAATAAAGCCTTTCCTCCCCAAGTTGCTCTTGGTCATGATGTCTATCACAGCAACAGAAATCACACTAGAAAGATCCCCTAACTATAGACACCATCTATTTGCTGAAGTGCATTTCTTAAGCTAATTACGCTCATGCTTTGATCTGTACTGACTCAGGTTCCACTTAGAGAATGGATAAAGGCAATAATTTTAAGAACTGTAGAGTTGAGGAAGCTGGTTTTGCTAGCACTGTTATTTTTGATATGTAATCATATATATGAATCCTATCTATATATTGACTGGATATTTATTTTTCCATCAGCTAAGGAAAAAAATCTTTCTGTGTTTTTCACTTGGGTATTTAAGTCATGAATCTCTTCAACATGTGATAGGACAAAATGTATTTCTACTGTGATGGTTGATTTCCATTGTCCACCTAACTGGATTTAGAATCTCCAGGAAAACTTTCTTCTGGGTCTGTCTGTGAGGGAGTCTCCAGAAAGGTTTAACAGAGGAGGAAAGACCTACCCTGAATTCAGGCAGCACTATAGCATGGTCTGGGGGGCAGATTAAATAAAAGGAGAAAGTGAACTGAGCATGAGTATCCCCCACCACCACCCCGAGTGTGAGTGTGTGTGTGTGTGTGTGCGCGCGCGCCTATGTACACATGTGTACCTCTCTATCTGCCTTGTCTTGTGTGGATACAATATGAACAAGTACCTCAAGTTTCTGCCATGTCTTCCCCACCCCACCATGATAGACAGTGCCCTCAAACTGTGAGACAAAATGAGCTGCTTCTTGAAGCTGCTCTGCCAGGCATTTTGTGACGACCATGAGAGAAGTAACTAGTTCAGCCACCTGTAACTCATTCGCAAAAGTAACAAAGAAGCACACCACTTTTGGTATCAATAAGCAGGATGGAAAACACGTTTTACAGACATGTTTTAATGTTTGGAAGTGATTATTATTCATTTCTAGAACATCTACAATAAGCAGCCAAGTTGGTATCTATCTTTGCTCTACTGACTTTAGGAGCAACTGCAAAATTCACTTCTTCGGAAGGGGATAGGTGTGTGAAAATGCATTTCTTCTTCTAGTGATATCTCTTTCTCTCTCAGAAAAGCTACAGATATCTAAATGCTTGACACAGGCAAGGATCCACAATCACATATATCTGCCTGAAGCTGAACACATGGAATTCCCTCCTTTCTCTGTCTTCTTCCCCTTCCCTTCCTCCTACCTCTTTTTCTTTTGTAATATCTTAAGATTGAAGGACTACATTACAAGGTCAAATTTAATATACCACTCTGGCACAACACTCCTAAGACAATCAAAGAAAGGACTCTGTTCCCTGGGATACCCTGTGTGTCACAGCAGAGATGGAAGTGAGCTGAGCATGCCTGCAAGGCTTTCTCCGTGCACCATCCATTGAACGTCTTCCCCTCAAGAACCTCCAGCTGTGACAAGTTGCTAAAGCAACAGTTGAAGCTACTAGCACCATCAAGGTTTTATACATTTGCTTCTGGGTCAGCCTGCATTTAACAAAAACTCAAGCTGTTATGCATTATGTCCACATTGACATCGTTGATAAGATGGGGGTTTGAGGCCCAAGTTAAACTGTGCCATTTAAGGACTGAATGACTGAGCAGAGAGATTTGAATTCTTAGGATCTGCTTCATCTGGGAAATGGGGGTGAATATACCTACTTCTTGGGGTTCCTGTAAGCAGAATTAAATAACTTGGTGGTTATAAAATGCTGTGCAGCACCACGTGAAAGTGCTCAGTATAGGGGCTGGATAGATGGTTCAGCTGTGAGTACCACCTGAGTTTGTATCCCAGCATTCACATCAGGTGCCTCACAACTGCCTTTATCTACAGGCCCAGGGCTTCCAATGCCTCTGGCCTCTGTGGGTACCTACACTCACGTACACATACCCTCCCCGCAACACAAACACTGAAAAATTCATTTTAAAAATCTTTTTTAGTGTGTTCCATATACAAATCCTGAGATATGGCTCACGGGTCTGTCTCTACCTCTCTCCTGTGCTGTGGTTTCCACTGTCTGCCTTACAGCTATGTCTGTGTCCCTGCCTTTCTTTAAGTTCTCTTGGCATTTGATTTTAATAAGTTATATAGAAAGAACTCTGGATTCTGAAAACGATTTCCAGTCACAATAAGCAAAATATCTTGGGCAGAGCTCATATGCTACAAGTTAATGGTGAACATCAGTACTGTTTTTTCTGTTTGTTTCTAGGAGGGTTTTTCTGAGCTGTATTATGCCTTTACCTTTAATGAGCAATGTCTTCTGTTGCTATGGCATATTGAAACGTATGGGTTCCTCTAGGAGGTGGAATTGTCAGTACCCATCTTCTCCATTCATATTTCCCCCTGGGCTTGATGGGATTGAACCCCAGTGCCTCGTGGAA